TATTAGGCGCCAACTGGTTGTGCGCCATATAGGCCGTTGGCTCCATTTTCAGCCTAGTTATCTTTTTAGATTTGCTGCCATCCAAAAACATGCTACAAGGCAGCAGTTGTTTCCTTTGGAGTTTTCTCACTTAGAAGTGTTTCTATTGAGCCTCAACTGCCCGAAGGTTCGAATTCGGGACTTTTCGGTCCACGAACCGCGAGCTTTATTTACAACACGCTGATTTGCCTACGAAAAAATCTGTATATGTTTTTTTAACATTTAATAAGTAGCACTACATTGAGCAGATCAGAAGTGGGGGGGGGGGAGTGGGGGGGTCTCCCGCACAGGCATATCTAGAGGGGGGGGGGGGCGGCAAAATAAGTAGAAAAAAAATGAAACGCTCATTTTTCCATGTTTTCCTTGTCTGTCTGTGAGATTGAACGCGTGACTTTTCTGTTTAGCAAACAAGAGGTCTTCCACATCCACTCCTAATGTCACCGAAAACAGCTCTTAAAATCCAAGCATTGTCCGTGGACCGATTGTAGCTCTTGAAACGATTTAATGGCCATTCTAATCAAAGACATTGTAATGACGGGTGTCACCCGGTGAGGAAGCTAAAGGCGTCACTCCAACCCCCTCCAAAAATTTGAATTTTCGAGTTGTTGTACCCACTTTTTGCAATGCTATTGTTTTTTTAAATTTTAACATTTCTGTAGTGTGAATTTTTATAATATTTTTACTTGGTGTCACGAAAGTGGCTTCACCCAATGCGGCCACACCCCGGTAACTGGCTAGTGACGCTACTGATTATAATATATCGATTGTACTTACAAAAAGACTCGGATTATAAATGATTCTATAAAATACATAGTTTTAAATAGGTGGTTTAAGAAACAAAAAAGATTTCTCATGCAGTATCCCGGTCTTGGATGGGCTCAGTGATACATGGTGCAATACAACTAGCGTACTGCGATAAAAGGAAAAGTATAGGCCTATATAGCAGTGATAAAATTGTACACAATAAACAAATAACACCTGACGATTTAATGACATAGCTATTTATTTTTAAGTTAAAGGTAAAAAGTAAAATTCAAAGTAAAATTAAAGAGTTTTTAATATTCTATAGATCTCTTTGGTATTCGTATTTTTTACTTTCCCGTATACGAAATATGAAGGTAGTATTGTAATCGTGCAAATAATCGAAATCGGCGTTTTTTGCTTCTTCAAAATCAACATCATACTGTCCGGTTCGTGACGACGACGCATGGTCAGATGTCGTAATGTTCATGTTTTAATTACCTCGTCGCACAACGAGGACAATGTGCTCAGCAGTATGCCCAGCCACTTATGTTTACCTAACGTGATTCAGGTACCCATTAGAGCTGGGTGAACTCAAGGTTGTACTACAGATTCGAGCCCAGGTATTATTATACTTCAAATACAGGTGATTTTTAAATCTATTTTGTTAACAGTATGTAAGTATTCAAGTTTCTTGTCGTTTACTAGAGCTGCAAACAAGAAACAAATCGTGAAAAGTTGTTCTATATTTAGAACTCATCTTGTTGTAGAGCAGTATGCTGACGCTAGAGTTGAACGAGTCCAGTGCAAAAGCAAACGACCAGGTCACGAAAAACAGGTTGGAATACTTCCCGACGACATACAGACCTGGGACGATATAAACCGCCACACCAAACACGACAGCTGGCATGTAACAGACGATCAAAAAACTGGCAATCACGATGACCATGTTGATGGATTTTTGGTCTCGGCTGGACAGAGTTTCGGACTGTTTGTTATCGTGGGTCGATTCTTTTCTCCATTTCGTTTTTTGTCTCAGTTTGACAATTAAAGTAATCGTAAAAATAATCAATGCCGAGAACGATACAAGGATGTACACGCCGAAGAGAAGAAAAGTAATTCCCGAAGCTTTGTCGTAGAGAGCTGTGGGGACGAGACCCAGTAGGGTTTTGTTGGTCTCCGGGTAAAACTTCCAGTCGATGTAAAAAGCGACGTACTCCGGTACCAAGGCCGTGATATGCAGGATGTAGATGAAGCAGATGATGAGAGCAGCACGTCTGGGGGTGATGATTTGTTTGATCTTTAGGGGCAAGGTGATACACAGGCAACGCTCGGCTGTGACGTACGCGGTGATCATACAGGTGATGCGGGCAAAACTGGAGTGAGGAGACCCACCTGTCAGGTGCTCAAACTCTGAAGGCACCATCGGAATATCTGCGTTTTTAAATAGCGGGTTAGCTAAGACGTTGAACCAAAGTAGAGCCACGAGACTACAGAGGTCTGAGATGGCCAGGCTTAAGAAACTGATGTTGATGCTGCTGGTCAGACCCTGCTTGTAGAAGACGATGATGTTGATGTTGTTTCCCACGATGCCGAACAGAGCGAAGATGTTACAGAGGAAAACGTAGTTGACTGTTTCAATAATGACGCGAGCCTGCTCACTGAAAGACTGACCTTCGCTCGCCTGATGTGAGATTTTGTTGTTGTTCAAACAGGACATGTTTAAACATTTACGAGTTTTTATACACAATTTCATTTATTTAAAGTAAATCTACAAGTTGAAAGGAAAATACTATATTTTTAAAAATAATTCTCTGACATTCATCGTATTTCTTTTTATGTATAAGACTTAAAGGGGTAAACGTAAACATTTTATTGTTTACATTTTTGTGTTAAATCTAGACACAAAGAATAAATCCTTAGTGAAACCTGAAAAATGATAATGCATAAACATCTTTAAAAGATGTATCAATACTTATTGCAGTTTTTCTTTAGCTAATAATACGGAAAAATAAAAGAATTGATTCGTTTGTTTGTAAGATGTCATCTAAATACCTAAATGACAATTATCGAAATAAAAAAACGGTGACTGTTGAATCAATATTCCAACTCTTCCATCTATCTAAACACAATCAAATAAGCTCAAATGTTCAACAATTTTACTTTCGGTGATTGTTCTGGATCTTTTGCTATAGCCTGCAGACAGATACTATTTTTTGTTATAGCAGAGAAAACTAATCAAATCATTACTAACATTACTGCACGGAGTAAAAATCTCTAACTTATTCATGCTTATCTTTCAGTGGTATTTTAAATTCTCTCCCCTTAGGTTTTATGGCGGCTTTCTCTCCCTTTCTTTGTCTGTTTTTTCTCGGTGTATAGTTTCTAATAATGCAATTGTTCCGAAAACATAATTTGAAGTCGTAATTGTGTCGAAATCACAATAATGCTGCGTTTTGTCTTAATAAGCTTATGCTGTTTTAAAATTAAAGTTACTTTTACAATCACCGCTCGCTTTAGACTTGATCGAAATTATGTTATTCTAAAGCATTCAATAATAATTTTAGAAAGTTATTCTTCGACAATGTATCCTTTTTTAAATCAAAAATATATCTACAAAGATTCTCACCTTACAAATTATGATCATGGCTTTGCAGAAATTGAAGAGCGATCGAGGACGTCTAATTTATTAAATTATGTAAATATGTTTAAATGTTGCATCGGTTTTTTTTTATAGTTTTCGAAAGTTTAAAAAAAAAAAATTTAGTGCACGGTTTTAATAACAATTGCCAATCCGGTGTATGAAGAAAGTTTAACTGGTTAATATTATGTATCTTATTTAAAAAAAAAAGAAATAGATGCAATGATTGTTTTCATGTTATACAAAATGTGCGTATTTTTGAAACAGTAAGAAACAATTTTTTTTTCGCTGTTGTAAATGGAAGGTGTCTTTTGCAATTTTGCGTAATCAGATACAGTTAACTATAGGCTGAAAAAAATTAACAAAGATTGGTAAGACAATCTTATGTGTGATATACAACGTGGTTTAAAACACTTTTTGTGTGGTTTTCTGTCAAACTAAGCGCCTTCGGTAGACTTCTGATATAGCCTGGAAGGACAACAACACATCTGTTACAAATATTTCTTGTAGATCACCAACATGGCATGCTCGCCAGCTGAATGACGTCATTCTCTTACGGGTACTCACACTTTTGTGGATGCTGCTCAAACGTTAGAGACCGCTGCTAGAAATATAACAACATAGGTTTGTTTCTATTATAAGTAGCCACACAATGAGATATAATTTTTGTGTTCATTACAAATATAAAAATGTGACCACTCATGTACTACATTGTTTTCTAAATTAGCTAACGCTGCCGGCTAGCTAAATTGTTGTTTGGTCAAAGGATGGAGAAGAGCAAGCGTTAAGATGGGTGGTATTGCGTATAAAGGTTTAGCGTGCTGGTATAGTAAAGTTGTTGGAGCTCTCCAAACTTGTTGTTCATATCAACTGGTGTATTTTTTACCAATTGTGGACAATGTAGTACATCTAATGTAGAAAGTGGATGCTTCTAAATGACCAGTTTTGTAGAATTGTATCATTTTTTGTTACACACTAATAAAAAAAATAATAATCGATTTTAAATACGAATATTGTTAGATACATTTGTAAAATATTTAACATCTATTCTTATAGTTTAACTTATTAAATGCTATCTCATTCAATTCTTTAAGTGAAACAATCTATAATAGAGTTACCCAAATAAAGAGTCCGATAGGAAATCAACTGATAACTTTATAAGAGAGCTATACCGACTGCGGAACACAACTATTCAAACAATCCGTCTACAATTATCATATATTATATGTAAGTGGTGGGTTCGAAGTTAAGATTTGTAGCTGAACACATTAAGTTTGTGAACTAGAAGTTCGGACTAGTTCAGCCATACAGCATCCTTAAAAACCGTTTTTATAAATAGGCTTTCTTAAATATATTCTTTTCATACCAACACTAAAGAATAGAAAAAAAATACAGTTTAAATCCAAGTTTTTAAAACTTTAATAAATTACCATTGAACAAACAATAAAAAAAACAGAATATAAAAATAAAATGTTATTAAATGGTGAGGGTGTAATGGTCTAACTCATATCATACTATGCGAGCTTAGCAGATTAATTGCATAATTTCATCGAATAATGTTGGGGGATGCTCTAATAAAATCTCGATATAGAAGGTATATCAGCAGCTGTAAAAACAAGCTTGGAAACGCTTAACATTTCAAACCAACACATTGATACATCACAAGTGTTGTCAGTTAAATACAACAATGAATCAAACAGCTTGAAATGGTACAAGAAGACTTTAGTTTAGCGTTAGTATGATGTAGCTTGTTTATTGAATGATTTTAGTTTAGCGTTAGTAGGATGTAGCTTGTTTATTGAATGTCGATTTACCTGATGATTATCTTGTTAGCCTTCGACCAGTTAATCTCGTAGATTATCTTTTAATCAAGATATTAAATAATCAGGTTAAAAAGAGTCTTGTTAATTTCGAGGAAATAATTTAAAAGAAATAGTTAATCTGGTAGAACGCATTTAAAAAAAATCTAATGTAGGTTTAAATGTTATGTGTAAAATCCACACAAAATATGGAGGTCTACTCGACTGGTACAATGATCCGACGCGTCGTATTTGTGAGACAAACAAAAATTTAACTAATCCAGTTTCTTTAGTAAATTAATTCTACTCCACCATGAGCTAATTTAATTTATGACTAGTTTAATGCAATTATTTTTACTGGTAATCAATTAACTTCAATTAGTGCTATTATTATTCAATTAAAACATAAACTCGGAATAATCTATATTTCTCAATTATTTCCTGACCTTTAACATTGATGGCTCAACAATAGTAATTAATGGCTAATTGACGGCTTTAGCTAACTATACACTTTATGTGGGAGATAATTCTTTTTTCCGACAGAAACTGAGAAAAATAAAAGATATTATTAAAAATAATTAATACTTTAGATTGATGAAACATTTTTTTTTTAAGAAAAAAGAAATATAAGGCGAATTAAAAAAAAGAAATAAGTTATGGTAAATGTTGTATTAATTTTACTGCTTTAAGTAAGAAATAACCACAAATAATAAAGGGGAGGGAAGCGATTATATCTTAAAATCGGGGAAACAATCGTGCAAGAGAGCAGGGCTGTGTGCCCATTGGCCGGCGGTCAGCATGCGATAAAATATATCTTAGGTGCTGTCCATGATTTTAGAATGTGTAAGTTATTCGCAGTGTAAAATAAGCAGTTTATTGAAAATATTTATTTCGTAATAAACAGATTCGTTCATAAATCTAAATTTCACGGTCGATCACGGATATTGCAAGTGAGTAATAGAGTGCATCGGTACTATAAATAATTGCAAATGCGATAGTGTTTATTAGAACGTTGGGCATTTTTGTTATTCGTAAATTGATATAATGTAATAACTTAGTAATTTAGTAAAGAAAAGGTTATTCATTAAAATTGGAAGACTTAAGAGAAATGAAATTATTTTTAGATTTGAAGTAAAAATTTAAAAAAAAATTGACGTGATTTCGTCACACTAAGATATAGTGTGCCTGTGATAAATTCGATATCCTGGCGTCTATGTTTGTTATAACTTGAGTCAAATAGCCTACACATTAAACTACGGAAACTCGTGTTTAGAAACTGGAGAACGAAATTAAAATTTTCGGGTTATAATTCGTGAGCTGAAACTCCACATGCCAAAATATACTTTGTAAAAGCTTAAAATATTATGTGATGAAAGTATTGGGATGAAGTTTTTATTAAGATATTTATAATTAATAACTAAAATATACACATTTTAAAAAATGTAAATTGTTTTTTAAAGTTACTTTAAATTTACAAAACTGATATAAATTTTTAAATAACTTAGTCTGCTAAGAACAAGCTTAATTTTTATTTTTTATTTTAAATGTACCTATATTTAAAAATCGCCGTTTAAAAAAAATTGCATCATTAAGAGATATCCTATTTATAAGTAGTTCTACTAAAAACCCATACAATTTTAATTCAATTTTTTGATGGTTCTAATACAATAAATAATACTTTTTTTCTGATAGGATCGTTGTATGGAACAAACAAACTTGCAAGATTGTACAAGTAGGGACGCCAGCATTTAAAATGTATATACCAGCAGTCCTTGATCAAGCAAGTAAGCACCTAAACACAAATGCAATGCTTATCAAGTCTGGAAAGTTATTTTAAAGCAAATATCCACATTAATGAATTGAAGTGGCTTAAAACAACTAAGTTTGAATTGATTGAATAATTAATTAAAATAATTAACAAACAATCATAGCAAAATGAAATACAGCCAGTAACGATACAATGTGGAATAAATAATACTTAGACGTATGAAATTATGGCGAACACTATCGAAATCAGTGACACGACAGTAAACTCCACAGGACAAAATGTTGACAATTCTGTATCAAACTTGGCGCTGCTATCACTTGCTATAACAGAAATCTTCAGCCTCACGAACTTGGTCGTTCTCAGCACTTTCCTGGCAACTACCGGAATTGTGGCAAACGTCATCAATTTATGTGTGTTCTACAAACAAGGTTTGAACAATTCTATGAACATCAGCTTTTTCGTGCTTGTCGTTTCGGACATTTTAAATCTACTAACTCTTCTGTGGAGGAATA